GTGTCTCATCACCAAGTCTGCTTCTCAATTTGTTGCACATATATGCAGCTGCTGAGAAAACGCGTTTAGGTTTGATGGAAGTTGGAGGAATCGTTAGTAAATACTTATAAGCTTCGAGGATACGGGCAGGATGGAAGAAAACAGTCCGGTCGACACGGATCAGGATTGTTGGAGTAAAAGCTACAATCCCGATTGTTTCGATCATTGTAAGCATGCCTTTCTAAAAATAAACGCGTTAACTTTGTAAATTCGGTCTCTGTGTGAGTCTCTCAGCATCCGGCAAACCACTACTCCCAAACGTAAAAAGACTTTCTCGCATCATCCTGACAGATCACGGGCAAGGCGGGGATCGTAACCTTTTCACCTAAAGTCGACCCCCCTAAGCGAGAGGCGTCGGGTCTATATTAACCACACTGGCAAAACAAGATGGCTGACACATTGACAGGTAAAACGCACTGAGTAGTGCTCTCGACTGCGCCAGAAAATCGATTGGCGCCCGCGAAAATTCAAAAATACAAAAATGAAGTATATTACCAAGTAACCCAGTGAGAACTGCTTGCCNATTATGAAAATAGACTAGCATGTTTTTTTAATTTTTGGAACCTAACCCTCCTTTTCGTATTAGTTCTTTGTTTCGTATAACACGGATTCGCATAACACGGCAATTTTTTGGAACGTAACTACCGTGTTATACGGGGGTTACCTGTACTGTACCTAACGATCGACGGTTAAATAATCTTTTGCGCCCGGCGGTAGTTCGTTGGTGGGTCGGCCACGCGGAGTTTTTCGGGTTTCGTCCACCTCTAACGCCTAAATAGGGGCCGATTATCCGTAAAAAACCCGCCGGAAGGCATCCCCGGGTGTGGCCTGGCCGTTACCGAACAAAAGTAAAAATAATCTTTTATTTTGCAGATTACCACCGACGACGGAGAATGGATGACGTCTACGACTTACGTATTTTTGATAGTGTTGTCGGCCTGGTGTTTCGTCCTTTATTACACGACCAGAGACGCGAGAAAACGCCAGTCGTCGTCGAAAAACGACAATTTCGTCCGTTTTCAGAAACAGTATTTTGCCGCTTATTTTCCCGCTCTGTTCGGCGATTGGCTGCAAGGTCCTTACGTATACAAATTGTACAGTCACTACGGCTTCGCCGAATCGCAGATCGCCGCTCTTTACATCGTGGGTTTCGGAACCAGCATGCTTCTGGGCACCTGCGTCGGCACTCTGGCCGATCGGTTCGGCCGTAGACGAATGTGCGTCACCTTCGGAATATTGTACTCGGCCTGCTGTTTGACCAAGCTGTCGTCGCACTACTTCCTGCTAATGTTCGGGCGGTTTCTGGGCGGCATTTCCACCTCGCTCTTGTTTTCCGCCTTCGAATCGTGGTACGTCTACCAACACGTCCAGAGCCACGACTTCCCCCGCGAGTGGATCTCCCTCACCTTTTCCGAGGCCACCTTTTGGAACGGCGTGCTGGCCATTGGCGCGGGAATAGCGGCGGACGGGGTGTCGGAAGCCGCGGGCTGGGGCCCGGCGGCGCCTTTCGTGGTGGCCGTGCCCTTCTTGCTGGGCAGCAGCGCGGCGGTGTACGCCACCTGGGAGGAGAACTACGGAGAGAGGAAGAACCCCTCGTCCTGGGGATGGGGCGGTCTGAGCCGCATCGTGCGCGATCGCCGCATTTTGCTGCTGGGCTTGGTTCAGTCGACTTTCGAGAGCGTGGTCTACATCTTTGTCTTCCTTTGGACGCCGGTGCTGGACGCCGGTAACCCGCCTCTGGGCTTGGTCTTCTCCGTCTTCATGACCTGCATCATGGTGGGATCGCTGCTGTACCAGCTGTCGGCCTCTCGAGGGGTGCCGGCCCACGTCCCGCTGGCGCTTTCTCTGCTGGTGGCTTGGGCATCGGTCACCCTCTGCGTTTTCTCCACCGGTCCGTCGGATCCCGCGCCCTTCGTTTCCTACCTGTCGTTTTTGGGACTGGAGTTGGCGGTGGGCGTTTATTTTCCGTCCGTGGGCTTCCTGAAGAGTCGGCTCATTCCGGAATCGAATCGAGCCAACATTATGAATTGGTTCCGCGTTCCCCTGAACGTGGTTACCTGTTTGGTCTTGCTGTGGTTGCACTGCGAAGAAAGGATCGGCGGAAACAGAGCCATCTTCGGCTTCTGTTCCGTCCTAATGATTTTGTCCAACTGCGCCATGTTTTATTTCTGTCGGGCGCCGACTCCGGACCAGTCCGCCTTCGGCCACGGCTGAAATTGGCCGAAACCCAACGGAATGTCAGAGGGTATTTCGGATCGACGGTTTTAATATTTCGATGTACAGAAAATTAAAAATTTTAACGCGAATACGTCTCTAAAATATGATTGTGCGCGCAATCGTCTTTTGTAACCGTTATCTTAATAAAGAACCGCGGAAGAGGACTTATTCATTGGGCTAGGTCCAATGCAAATTGTCGACACCGGCGAAGCGTAGAAAATTTTAGCAGTGTTTTCCGCCTTGAAAACGAAGACTGGAGTCGGACGAAAAAATAAAAGACGTCGATCGTTCGTTAAACGGCGACGTATTTCTTACCGGTTAAAAAAAGGTAATTAGAAGTAACGCGTAATCTAAGACTATATTCTGGTAAAATGAATAAGTGCAATGTTGTTTCGATTTATACGAACGGTAATTAAATTAAACGGATTAGTAATTCTAGAAACGTATCGGGGAAGGTGGCCGTCCAGGAAATGCAAAAGCTACTGTTCATTTTGCATTTCAAAAACACGTATTTTCTGCGCGTTATTAATCCCGCTGGTGGAACTCGATTAAAACCTTTGCCATTCTGTAAGTGTCGAGCACAAAAAATTTTACAACAATGGTTTTCAATTTGGATGTAACGTCCGATCAGGCGGTAACGGCGGAAGGATTTATCCCCCTCTTCGAACCTTATCTTATGTATGTCGATAAAACTATAAGAAATTACAGTACAATGTATTTAATAATTATATTTAACATACGCTTAATCACAAACATTTCTTTAAAAAATAATTATAGTGACAACTGGAATGATTAAAACCGTGGGGTAGAACAAATAAAATGAATAAATAAATATAATAAAATGATGATAAAAAATAATAAGGGGGTATACCTGTAAAATTAACAGTATTTTGGTTAAAAAGTATAAAAAAATTGAATAATAAAGGCAGCAAAAACACAAAACCCTTTTAAAAACTACGGTAGGCTTTCGCTATACAGTATGGTCAGGAACACATGCGTAAAATTGTGGCAGAAATCAGCTTTCAATTCAGCTTCTGTTTTACGCTTTTATGTCAGAACACACACGTAAAAATTCTGGCCGAATAGGAAACGCTACTGCCACTAACAGCGCTACATTTTATTAACTTATCTATCCCTTTGTACCTTCCATTTTTTCTCCGCTATAATTTAGAAAATTTAAATTAATAGATTTGTATTCCGAATTTAAATTAAGAACTTGTGATAGTTTTTTCGACATAGGCCTATATATCGATTCTACTAGATCTACATGTTATTTGAAATTTAGCATCCATAAACGTTCTTTAAATACAGTGTCTTTATACGTGACACCGATGTGGTCGAACGGATTCGATAAACTCCTATTTCATTTATTTTCCGGTTTTTCGAGATCGTCACAATTGTAGGGTTAACCCTCATTGCCGCCATTGTTAGAATAAAAACCACGTGTCTACTTTGACGTCACAAAAAAGACTTCTCTTTATTGGAGAAATTTTGGCGTAAAAAGTTGAGACACGCTCTACTCTTTTTTTCAGTTATGTTTCAGTCAAAATTTTTACGCTTTCTGTTTTATGCTAGATTTTACGCACGTATGTTCCTGGCCTATTACGTACACATGATACGTAATACTTTACTGTGGATTAAAGCCGGGACTCCACATTACCTGAATCCGCGACGTAATCGTAAAGCTGAAATCCAAACTGACGAAACTTTCAGTTTTGTAACGTTCAGTTGGACAGAAACAAGACTGAAAGCAGAGTTAAAAATTATTTAACTTTTCCGTTTTCGTCCTGTGCTTCTGTCGTACTGCAACCAATAAAAACGCGAGGATTTGTGACGCGTATTCACGTGCATTAGTCACGTGTAATTTGATTGTCGTAATGGCGGAAAGTGTAGCGAAAACGACGAGGAAACAAGTAGATTTGGAATTCTTCATCGAATAAGTTAGAAAATACATATGTCTGTATAACAAAAAATGTAAATAATTCAAAGATTATTAATAATGAAATTGTTAATAAATGCGGAGAAAGCGTGGCAAAATCCGTAGCATCGTCCATGTTTGACTCTACGACAATTACAGAACTAATCAACAGATGGCGCATTTCTAGTGGTGTCAACTTAAAACGAAAACTCTATATGTTTCAGTTCTGTTTTCAGGTAATGTGGAGTCCAGGCTTAAGAGGGGAAGAGAGAGAACGTCTTAAAATGCACTTTGGTAGTAACCGTTACCAAATCTCACTGACTACAACACCTGTGTTTAAATTCATTCTATGAATTTCAATATGTTCAAAAAATTTTCTTTTAATAATAAGTTTTTCCTTTTCAAGAATTTTGACACCGTCGAGTGAAATCTCGCAACCGGCACTATTAGTGTGTGGCCACCGCCGAGTTGGTGTATTTAAACTTTCACCATCCTTATATGCTTTCTTATTTTAACACTGTCCGTCCCACCAATGTAATAATATTTTGGTTGACGAGTATAAGTGAATATAAAGGACCGAAGAGGGGCACGATGCCCGAAATGCATATCCGTTGTGAATTATAGAAAATAAAAATCTACTTTTTCCATCAAAGGGAGTGTTCCTGTGTGATTTGTTTTCAATAGCAACTTTATAAATTCTCAAACTTACGTGGAAGGTTGAGAGAGAAAAGAAAGATTAATTAAGGATACTGTTTTGTTTGTTTTATTGCCGACCATTAAAAAATCAAAATTGTAAATTATTCAGAAAATTATAGACTAATTAGTTGTTTAAGTTATGGCAACGCAACACTCGGGCGATCTGCCTAGGGGATGCCTCCCGGGAGGTCTTTTTAATTAAGGGAAACTGGTCCCTATTCAGCTGTTACAGACTTGGAGAAAACCCGGAAAACTGCACGTGGCCAGCTCGTCCGAGCGAAGCACGAACGCACGACAGAACTTCCGCTGTTCGGGCTTCGAAGACAGCTTGGCTACTGGTGGTCCGGCTAATTAGTTATCAGATTTATTAAAAATGCATTACGGGTGGCGCTCCCGAGTTTCGCAGCTCCAGGAAATGTTAATCTGTCCAGGTGACAAGTCGTCGACCGCGACTTAATCAATCTGGCGACTGTTCTGAGAGACACGACTAAGATCTGTTTTAGTTATTATTGTAACGTTACGGTTTTTATGTAAATAATTACAAGTTCTGGTACAATTGCAAACGTGAATGACGCTATCGGGACCTTACCAAAGATATAGAGCGTGTCCATAGGAGCAAAAAAGTCAAAGAAACATACCTCTAAATACGACCCTTTGCGAGATATATCCCCTAAATCAGCCACACGTCATCGTCAGTAGCGCCACTAAGACTGGCATTTAACTATTTAGTTCGGTCGACTGCCGGCTTCCAGTAGCCCACTGGATCGTTCGTGGATTACTCCACGTTATAATGTTTAGGGGGTGCGTGGCTCGTTCCCCGGATACCGAGGTACACGCGGTAACCAGTCTCGACCACCGAGAGCGATAAGAATGGGCAGTAGTACCGGTTCGAGGTAAAATTTTTTTTTGATCAGTAGGCCATATCTCGCCAAGGGTCACATATAGAGATATGTTCCTTTGACGTTTTTGCTCCTATGGACGCGCTCATCGGCTCTGTTAAGGTATTATATACAATACCTAAAGAAAATAGGTGTTTTTCAGTAATGTTATTGCCCGTGTAATACCCCACGGAGGATAGGCTAAACCAGCGTTCGGCAACCTACGCCACGCGTGCCATCTAGTGGCACGCTAATTGTGCATAAAATTAAAAACTTCAAACTATGAACCAAATATTGATGCGTTAGTTTCTAAAATTGAACCGCAAGGGAGTCACTAATGTTTAAATATTATAATTTTTATAATATTTTTATATAGTGTGTATTTTATAGTTAAATAAAAATGTTTTAATGTGCAATAAATTTTATAATTACATGTTTTGTGACACGCCAATGCATTTGGGTTGCCGACCGCTGGGTTAAACAATAAATTTAATAGGAAACGAAGAATTATTTTTATTGTGACCTGGTCACAATGCCGGGCTGCAATTTTTAATCATATTTTTAATTTATTTCATTTAAAACATATCCTCTCCACTTGAAATTAGTAGTGGCTCGCCCTGGTAATCATACTTTTCCTTTAACAATAGAGTCATGCCGGTCGTCTAACTCCTTCCGGGGGAAACTTTTTGAATTTAAATAACGTAACTTCGTGTTTGCATGGGAAGATTTCGTGTAGTTAATCGGGACCTCCTACCTCAAGCTTTCCATATCCGGTTTCGGATTTCATCTATGTAACTCAGTTGTCGAGATTAAGGTGAGAAGTTTTTCAAATTGCAGACCAAATGCAGTCCAGCCGGTTATTCTCCGTTGGGCGTTAATCGATAACGTAAGTACGATATTTGTCTTTTTTATTTTGTAGTGGCGGTATTCACTCTCCGCCGAGTAAAAATGTCACCGACTCTATATACGGGAATGGCAGTTACCGAATTTCGGGGGCGATTTCTTTATCCGGCGCGGCAGACGCTGCTAGAGAAAAATTACAGTCTTTCTGGTCGTCGGTCAAACTTCCGGATCGGTAGGTCAAAGTTTATGGGGGTTCTCCGTACAGCTATTTCAGTTTTATGGCTTAATTTTACACCACGAGAAAATTTGCGTGGAAAGGAACGATTTCCATTCGAAACATTACTCGGAATAACAAAAGCCGAAATTCGTCTATAATAATTACAGTACAGTCGGTATATTGATGTTTCCGCGAAAGGATAAGTGGGAAAACCGAATATCCGAGCTGGTTTCGGTTTTATTGCTAATTATTGTGTAATTTTATTTCGCATGGTAAATTTATCAGTTATGTAAGCTAAATATTTTATTTCCAGTCGTTCAGGCTGATGAACGGCAGTAAATTGTATATTGATTAAAACTCATAGTTAAGTACAGTACACATACGTGTATAGAAGAAAAGGAATTTTCGATATATACGCAACATTCTTTCTGTTATTCCCGAAAATTTACGAGTTTCAAATTAATTTATAATTTTCTTCTGGTAAAATCTAAGATGGCGTTTTAATTATAGGATTAAAGTAAAGGGCCGTTACTAAATACTCGTACATTTAAAATATTAATAGACGGGTTTTTCTGAGATAAGAAGAATGTGCAAATATGTTACGAGATAATTTACCCAAGATTTATCGTCCGTAGTTCGACTAGCCGTAGGATACAACTAATAATTTCTCGTATGGAAGACATTCGGCACAATACCAACTACAGTACCTGCAAAGTAATTCACGTCCTTTATAGGTTATTTGATATAGAAGAGATTGTATGGAAATTTTAGACGTTATAAAGACTTTATAGCGGTCCGGCGTAATTTCTTCATGTCATGTAGAAAGCTTTATTTTCTTAACAAAATGTTTTGAAGAATTTCCATTTTCGGGCGAATAATTTTGTCAAGATAAAGAAAGACTTGTAAACGATACAAAGCGTAATTTGTAAAGTCCGCCTATCTCCGTCGTAATAAAACTTATTGTTCGACATTTAAGAATAAAGTATCGAGTTATTTACCACGCGGTTAATTCAAAAACCGGCCAATTAAAAGAAATTAGCTGCCCGTTTATTCAAATGCCATATAAACTAACGCCTTTTAATTAAATTAATTAATTAAAGAGTATTTCGCGATAACTCGGACGAAACTTTTGTTCCGAAAATAGCGAGTTTTAGACAGAATAGTTACTTCGAAAGTCACTCCACCCGCCACGTCACCGTACGTCGGGTTCGAGCCCGGCGGATACGTAGGTGCAGGGACGGAGAGTCGGAAAACTTATCGACTCCCGACTCGCGTTGTCGCTAAAAAAATTCAAAAATTTTTTAAAGCCGTTATTTTTGTGTTTTATAATAATACGGAACGCAACCCGTGTTGTTACTGCATCCTCTTCTCTCCAGTCGGTGTCCAAAGATTATTTTCATCGAATCTAACTGGAAAGAGGACATAATATACTATTTTATTACATCACTCAAGTAAGGACTTATCGTATTAATAGGACTATTATATTGGTGTGCCCACTTTTGCAAAGGAGAAATTCTTATTCAAAATTGTTTTCCCAGCAATAATATAATAAAACAATATAATATAAGGGCACAAAGGCAATTGAATTAGGTCATAATGTAGTCTAGTATTTAATTTTGAAACGAATTATTGTTCATAAAATTTCGTTCGATCTTTTTAGTGTTAAATTTTCTATCTCACAGTCAGTAGTATTAATATCATTACATATAGTGTTAAATATTAACGTATTTACATAAAACAAGTAAAACGGCAAATCCGTATTTGGGACAAGACTATGTCTCGGAGAAGGAATCACTTTGATGCTGAAGGCGGGTCTCGTTCTCATTCTCCTAACTTCTTTGATATCTCTGCTTTTGGGCGCGATCGTTCCAACTTCGCCGGCCACGACCACGAGATCGTCCACGATGCGTCTTCCATGAAATTAACCTATCTAATTTCAAAATTTCTCTCCGTTGCGTGTCGGCCCGGGTCGAATTTTTGTCCACGCCTAACGAAAAGTTCCCGTTTTTGAAAAAAGCAATCGTGGCTGTTGTATCGTCCGAAATTATTCTTTTATTTTGCGCAAACAATATACACTTTAACCCGATTATAACGTCGTCCAATGTAACGACGACCCTAATATAAAGTCAAATTTTTATCGGTCCTACGATTTTACTATACAAGATAATGTTTAAAAAACTCCATTCGTAATGACACAAAACCGTTTTAACATCATATTTGAAGTACTTTCAAATTTACAAAATTAGATTACAAATTTAACGTAGAAGAAACTACGTGTTCGGTCCTAAGGTCGGAGTTCGCTTCTTAGAACGACTGCGGGTGGTACTCTCTCCTACCCGACTTCGGTGGGGTGAGGTGGCCGTTTTGCCCGTTTGTAGATGAGGATCGCCATTTTGTATCTTATTTTGACTCGGTTCTCGGTCCCCCGACTACCTACGAGTCTGGATTTTTTTATGCGCGAATGATTTGGGCACCTCTGTGCTCTGTACTCTGTGCCAAATATCGACTCTCGACGCGTACTCCTTCATACCTCTATGCTGATAAGAAAATCTGGCAGTACGATTTTATAAACAAGACATAGTCTTGTCAATAATGAAAATTTAATAGTTATCAGATTTTTATAAGGGCGAAAATGATATTGTTAGACCCTTGTAGCGCTACGTTACTATATTGTTATTTTCTGTATGTTTCTATATCCTTTTCTGTATATAAATTGCTTTCCGTTTACCACGTGTTGGGATTTACTTTTTGTGTTATTTTTCGCGTGTTGTTCGTCTGTTTTCGTCGTACCACCTTTTCTACGGTACATCAGCCGGAGTAGGCTAATTGGTCGAGGAAGGGGTCGCGTGGTTAGAGAGCATTCCCCGGATGGCGGAAAGTATAAATTGGACCCGCTCACGTGTTCTAGAACGCTTTGCCGTTTTCTATGTTGAGTTGTAGCAGGGTTTAGGTTCGAACTCTGAAAGGAAAGCGAGGAGTCTGAGCCAAAGGCAACCGAGGATTGAACGCATTAAATGCAGGTAGTGTAATCCAATTTCATCCTAAAGCCCTGCTCACACTATGCGATTTCTAGCAGCGTAAGCGACCGCATCTACAACGAGCGCGAGTCGCGCGCGTCTTCTCGTGATCACACATTGTTCGTTGACGTTGCAA